GAATAAAACCTTCTCGGGGGAAAAAGAGCTTTCGATGCCGGGAAGCCCCGGGCTGTCGCGTGGCCCTCCCCTCCCCCGGCGTGAGGGGTGCCCCCCAGCGGGGCTGGCTCTGTCTTAAAGCCCCTTGTCAAGCTGCCCTGCCCGGGAGGCGGCAAAGAAGGTGCCGCTGCGGGGCCAGCACACGCAGGAAACGCAGGGAACCGGGGTGTCATCGGCTGCCCCCGACTTCGTGCAGAGCAAGGCGGGACCGCAGCTCAGCCCCAGCCCAGCCTCCTGGCCGCCCCCTCCGCACCCGCCCCCTCAGCCGGCACTGTTGAGGGCGAGGGCCGCGCCACACCTGACGTCTGCAGAGACTCGGATCACGCGGGGACACGGAGGCAGCAGCGCAAGCCGAAGCAGCAGACAGACTCCGGTTCCTTCCCGTCTCCAGGTCGCCGGGTCGTGCAGGGGCGGAAAAGCAAGCCGCTCTGCCCCGCCAACAGCAGGGGACGGGGGTGGCTGGTGTGGCCAGGGCGTCCTGGAGACGAAGCATGGCTGGTCCTGGGGGGGGCGTGTGAGGAGGGGCGGGGGAGGGCCCGGTCAGGTCCGCCAGGGTCCCACCGCGATCGCCCTGTTCCCCAGACGCATGCGCTGCAGGGCTGGCTGTGGCCGGGTGGGAGGGGCGGCGGTTAGATCAGCAAGGCGGGGAGCGACCGCTTTGCCTGGGACCTCCGGAGGGATCCCCGCGGCCGCCTCCGTGGCCGGGGCGCAGACCCGGGGAAGGGGCGCCCTGTCAGGAACGTTTGCCGAACAGTCCCGTGTGCGCACACTCTCCGAGCGAAGCCAAGAGCCGAACCTTGACTCCAAGTCCGGCGCGTTTTATGGCCCAGATTCTCCCCGTTGCCTCATCCGTCTTCCCAGAACGCATCCAGTCACGATCCAAGGAAGGGGGCAGGCACGTGGGGCCAAGGGGCCGCGCCCCGACACCTGGGGGTCCCCGAGGAACGTAGCCACGCCCGCAGCCGGGGTTCCCGCTTAGTTTGGGGTGCCTTTTGGTGAAGCCCATTCCCCTTGGGGTGGTGCTCACCGACGGGGAAGCCCCACCCATGACAGATGAACACCCAGGGGGATTCGGAAAGACAGGGCTGCCCAGAGGCAAACCACGGTGACTTTGGCGTCCCGCTCCGGGGCGCTCCCCGGCGACAGAGGGGTCCCGCCTGTGTAGGCCTGCAGGCACGATGAAGAAGGCAGGCTGAGTTCTCTCCAGCTTTGAAGGCTGGACTCTACGGCCGTTGGCACTCACTCTGTTTACAAGTGGATTTCAAAATCTGGGAGGGGATGGAAAGTGGGTCACGGCTGCTGTCCGGGGGAACGGGACTGCGTCACAGAAAGCCGCGGCCTGTCGAGGGTCCCGGGAGTGGCCCACCGCCCCCAGAGAGCAGCCGCCGCCCTCACGGTGCACGGGAGCCGCGGACGGAGCCTGAGCAGCCGCAGACACCGGACACAACCCCACAGCACACAGAGCGGAGCCCTCGGTGGGGCCCAGGAACGAGCCGCTTTGGAAGGTCCGCGGGGGAGTCCCACGCGCGGCCAGGACGGAGGCCCGCAGAGCTGGAGGGAGGGGCGCCCCCGGGGGGCCGGTTGCCCCCGCGCCCAGGCCACCAGGACCCCGCTCACCGCCACGTCTGGGCCAGACGCCTCGGGGTCCCCACGCGGGCAGCTGTTGAGAAGCCCCCACTCAGAACGTGCCCGGGATGCGCTGTCCGGAAGGGAGGCCCTTCCGCCGCCCACGCCTCGGAGCCCTGACTTTTCCAGTGACTACGAAGTTCCCCCAAATTCACACGGAGCTGAGGGGGGGCGGCGGCCAAAGGCAGGGGGTGCAGTCAGTGTGTAGCGGGTACCACGCTTTAGTTTGGAAAGTAAACTCTGACTCTCGGAGTTCGGGGAGAGTCCCGGAGACGGACGTCACCGTGGCACGTGACAACATGGGGACATTTGATGCCACTGAACTGCCCCCTTAACGGTGGTTAAACAGTGAAGCTGAGGTTCGCTGTAGTTTACCGCAGTAAACATTTTGTAAGTTCTTCAAGTACAGTAATTACAAAAAATATATATAATACGCCTGCGCCAATCTCCCCAATGGCGGAATGGTAGCACTTTGCCAAATTTTCTGCAGAAACTTTGCAGATTAAAAGAAAAAAAGCTTTCCTAGGGATTCATCACGGGACTGTAAGGCTAATTCAACAGAGCAAAACAATCAACGCACCCAAACACGTGACTATCTTAACTGACTCAGAGAGAAAAGTCATTTGACAACCTCCAACATCCTTTCACGATAACAACACTTAGAAAGCTGGGGAAAGAAGGGAATTTCCTCAACTTGATCAAGGGCATTTATGACAAACCCGCAACAAACATCCCGTCAGTGGGGAGAGACCGACAGCGGGTCCGGTACAGTCAGGAACGGGACAGAGGCCCATGCGGGCTGCCGCCCCTGGACAGCACACTGCCAGGTCCAGCCACCGCAATGAGGGAAGAAAAAGAAATAAAAGGCATCCGTGTTGGAAAAGAGAAAACAAACTCTCCCGACTCACAGCTGACACGATCCTCGGTAGAGAAAATCCCAGGGAACCCAGGCACCCAAGCAACTAGAGCTGCAACTCAAGTCACCAACGACCCAGAGAACAAGGTCAACTCACACATCAGCTGCGTGTCTCCGCGCCGGCCACGAACCGTCGGAAAAGAAAGTAAGACGCCAAGCCCGTTCACGAAGCTGCCAGAGCAGCTGAGGCCCGGGCGGCAGGACAGTCTGGGTCCCCTGACGTGGAAACATCTTGTTATTAACGGTCCCCGTGTAGGCAGAGCAGCAGGGCCTGGGACTGCTCGGGCGTCTGAGCAGAGCTCAGGGCAGAATGAAACGCGAATGCTCAGAGCAGATGGGCCAGACGGGGCCGGCGGTGCGGGGGGCGCAGGCGTGTGCGTAAGAAGCCGCACCGCCTCTCCCCGCAGCTCAGCGTGGCCCGGGCCTCAGCCACCCCGCCTCCCTCAGGTCCCCAGAGCCACAGGAAGCTGGGAAACAAAATCTCCGGCCAGAGGAACTGGCCTGAGTCAGCCTTCCTAGGGGGCGGCGGACGCAGCTGAGCCCCCAGAGCTCCTGGCTGAGGAGGGCGGTTTGCACTGGGAAAGCCGGCGGCGGTTTCAGTGGAAGGAGAAACTAGAAGTGTTCCTCGTTACTGCTGTAGGGAGGGGCCCGGAGGACGTGGTGTCGGCCAAGTATTGCCAAACCGTGCAGAGCCCGTTCCCAGACGGCTGCAGCCGGTCCACCCCACGGACAGCCTCGCTCTCCGCCTGGGGCCGGAGCTGGGGACGCCGCGGCCACGAGAGCCAGGAGGGGCGCTGCCGGGAGACCTGGGCTCGGGGCCGCTTCGGCGGGGCCCAGCTCTGTGGCTCTGAGCCCATGTATCCCTTCTGGAAAGGGGTCCAGGGCAGTACAGGGTGGGTCGGGGGAGACACCCTTTTGACTTTGGCATTCCAGCTTTTCCGGCCAAACCCTTGAAGAATTCAAAAGAACTCGAGCAGAAGAGGGGTGTAGCTCTGATCAAAAAAAGGAACCATGAAGAGACAGATTGTCAGAGGGTCCACCGATGTTCCCTCCCAGGCCCCTCTTTCCTCCGGCGCTGGCAGCGGGCGCCTGGGCGCACTCGGGAGGGGCCGGGGCAGGAGGAAGGAGAAATGGTTCCTGTTTTCAGCCTCCCGGGCTCCCCAGGGAGGTGCCAGGAAAGGCCCGCACGCTGGAAGCTGGCTCACCTGCTGGCAAATCAACCTCCTTGGGGACCAGGTTTCCAGGGGAAAAGGGGGGCGGAGACAAATCACACAGCGGCAGATCCCTCTCCCTTCCCTGTGGCTTCCCAGGACACACCCCAACCAGAGCCCACAGTGGGATAAAACCCTCGACCCACCGCAGGCTGGGGTCACCTGCATCTCTGGTCTCTGAGTGACACCTCCGCTTCCTTGGAAGCGTCCTTTGTGGGAGTCCTGCTGCCTCCCCACTAAGTGCGCTGCGGGGACCCCACGGAGGAGGAAGACGCTGCCACAAGAAGGCGGACACCGCTGCCTTTGCACAGCGGTGGGGCTGCAGCGCCGCGGCCTCGGGTTTGAAGGAGCTAATGGTCTCCAACGGCTGAAACAGGAAGCCAGATAAACAGCAGGCCGGCCGGGCCCGCTTCCCCTAAGCCGGCGCCAGCTGCGCCCCGGGCCTGCCGAACAAAGTCCCATTGACTCAGCCGCGATTTTCCTGTGTTGGCCTGGGGGCGGGGGAGGCACCCACCCCGCTGGGTGGGCGTCGCCCCTGCAGAGCGCACCGACCCCCCCCCCACACCGCGCCCCCGCGCGCATCCTCCCCTCCGCAGACTTGGCTGCGCTTCATCCTGGGACCAGTTTCTGTGGCTCTGAAGACAGAAGCGACCGCAGACCCTAGCCCGGAGCGCCCTCAGGTGAGGTCCCTGCGATCCCCCGACCTCTTCCTCCTCCTCATCCTCCCGGCTCACTCCGCCCCCCCCCCCACGCGTTCCCTGGGCGCGCGCCAAGGCACACAGCTCGGGGGACTCCGGGGGCCCTTCTGCGCGCACCCTGGCGCCCAGGGAGTTTCTGGGCTGGCCCCCAAGGTCACCTGCCCCGCGGTTCCGCCTGCTCCGCTGGGATGCGAGGCGACTCGGCTGGGGCGTGAGGTAGCATAGCACCGGGTCGCTCCGACTGCGGGGTGTCCGCGAGCTCCAAGTGGCACGTGTTTCCCAGGAAGGGAAACTGAGGCCCAGAACGTGGGAGTTGGCTACTCTGGTGAGTCAGCTCCTGGATGGGACGCGCAGCCCCGTGGCGACGTCGGGACCCAGCGTCCCAGGCAGCCGCCCGCCGCCTCCCCGGCACCGAGCGCACCTCCCGGGGCTGCCCCCGGCCCCTCAGGACTTGCCGGCCGAGCCCGGCCCGGTGGCCCCGACCACGACGACCCCGCGCGGGCCACTCACCGGCGCGTCTGCGTTCGGGTCTCGGGGTGCGCGCCGCCGCCGCCGCGCACAGTCGCGCATCCCGGGCAGCGCCGGCCCTCGTCCTGGCCTCGCTGAGAAAGTTCCTGGCGGCTCCGGGCGGGCGGGCGGGGGCTCCTCGCGCGCGCACTCGGGCCGCCGGCCCCGGTCCACAATGCGGAGGGAGGCGCGTCCTGAACAAAGTGCGTCCCCTGGGCCGGGGCCGGGGCGGAGCCTGGTGACCCGCTGCCCCCGGCGCGCGCCGCCGCCGCTCCTGCGCGGGACCGCCCCGCCGGCCTCCCGCGCGGTGCCAGCTGGACCCACCGAGGGGCGGAAGCGCGGGTCCCTCCAGACTTGGTCACTGGGAAGCCATCCCCTGGCCCTTTCCGCCCGCGCCTTCCCGCCCCGCCTCCCGGCGCGGAACGGCGGCTGCTCGGCGGCGCGCTGGGGCCCGGGCTGGCGGGGCGGAGGCCCGCGCCCAAACGAGCCCTTCCCGCGCCGGGACCCGCGGCGCCCCGCACGCGCGCTCGGGCCGCGCCGCCACAGCTTCGGGGACGAGGGGACAGATGGGCCGCAGGTCTCGCCGCGGCGCCGGTCTCCGCCCCCTCCCCCCGCCCCCCCGCCCCTCCCACCGCGTCCCCCCTGAGCCGGGGACTCGGCCGGGGCAGAGCGCGGGCCCGAACGGCCCGAAGAGCCGGCAGTAGTAGGTGCTCAGTAAAGGCGCGACTTCTTCCCGCTTCCTGACTGTGCCCGCGCCTCCCCCCCTCCCTTAAAGGGCTGCGGGGGGTGGGGGGGGGCGTCTGGCTCGGCCTGCCGGGAGCAGAGGGCGACTGGGGAGCCAGGGACCCGGCAGTCTGGGGCCGGAGACTTCCCAGCTCCCGCGGACCAGCGTGGGGCTGAGACCAGCGTGGGGCTGAGAGAGTCCAGGCCAGGGCGCGGGGTGGAGGCTGGGGGCTTTGGAGGATGGACAGCAACCGGCCGGCAGCGAGCACAGGCCGCGTGTGGGCCTCGGGTGCTGCCTGAGCCCCATCCGGTCAGGTCACAGTGGCCGTGCGTGTGGGGGACAGCAGACATCCGCACTCGCTGACGAGGGCTGGACACAGGGCCCACACCCGCTCGGCTCATGTCGGGACTGCACCCTTTCCCCAGAACAGGAAAAGAGGTGAACGCCCCCGGCTTCGTGGGGTTGTCTCGCCCGTGGGGAAGGGGTGTCACACAGGGTCCCAGGGGCCCAGCACAGTGGCATGTGGACAGGCTGGGGTGGCAGGGGAGGGAGGGCAGGCCCCCGAGTCTGGTGGGCGGCCAGAGCGGCGGTGCACAGCCGGGCGGCGGAGAGAGAGCCGCTGGGGAGCACAGCCCCGCCCGGCCCGAGGGCCCGCCGTGGTTTTCCTCTGAGCGCAGCCATGATGACTCAGGGGCTCTGAATCAAGCAAATGGATTTCCCTGAAATATGAAAATCAATACGAGGGGGGCAGGGCAGGGTGGGGGCCGGGGTGCGAGGGGGCCGGGGAGCGAGGTTCCAGCTCACTGCAGGGCGACCCTCATCACTCAGCACCTGCTCCACCCGGTCGCCCAGAAGGTGGCCTCGGACCCTGCTGACCCTCCCGAACACTCAGTAGCTCCCCACGTCCCCTCCTCTGCCCACAGTTGGAGCCAGTCCCCGGGGGATGGGGGCGCAGGAGACGGTTAACAAGAGGACTGAAGCCAGCGTGGCAAATGGGTCCTAAAACCTCAGCTGGGAGCCCGGCGTCGCCCCCCGGCCTCCCAGGTCTGGGCCGGCCCGGGCTTCAGGGGCCAGCCGGGAAGGCGGTCAGGGACGTGCCCGGGCCCGGGCGCGTTTCCCGGGGGCCCGGCCCGCCGTGCTGCCCCCGAGGCGCGGGGCCTGCGCCGGCTCGTCCCAGCGGGCAGGGGCTCGGGCCGGACTGGGGACGGGAGCTGTGTGGTCCGGGAAGGACCCGGGGTGCGCGCCCGGCCCGTGTTTGCGCTGGCTCCCGGAGCAGCGGGCGCGTGCTTCCTGAGAAGTGGCACACGTCATTCGGGCTCCTGAGGCAGGGTCCGTGGGGGCTCTGGCCTCCCCCCAGGCACAGCGGAAAATGACCGGGAGTCCACGCACGGGGCAGCCGCGTGCTGACGTGCGTGGCCTCCGTCTGCTCATCAGTAAAGGGCTTTGCCACCCAGGGGACAACTGTAACCACCCAGCGAGGCCCGGGGCGCGCCCAGTGAGGTCACGGAGGAGGAAGGTCCACACGGCGCGCGGGCAGAGGCACCAGCTCCCGTCCGGCCCCCGTCCCCACCCCGTCACGTGTTCTCTGGCTGTGGGCTCAGAGGGCGAAGGCTCCTGATGGAGACATGGGACCCGGACGGCCCACAGATCACCTCGTCCTCCCTGGCTCCACTCACCACCCAGCAAGGGGCTTCCCGGCAGAGGGGCGGCGTGGGGTGGGCAGGGCCGAGGCCCCCTCGCGGCCGCTCCGGCTCAGGACTGGCCTCGGGCCTGGTCACTGCCAGAGATGCCGCAGGCCCGGGGGACGCAGCCTCGGGGCCAGGCTGGCGCGGAGAGGAGCCCTGAGGAGCGCCAGCGAGTCACCGCCTTATCGGGAAGCCGCGTTCCTCCCTCCTGCTCTGTCATCAGGAATGCGAAGAGCTGGAGGCCGGCCGTGCTTTTCCAAAGAAGGCTTCTGAGGAGAGGTGCTTCTCTCAGGGGCCGGCCCGGAGGGGCGGGGGCGCGGGGACAGGCGGTCCCCTGTGAGAAGCTGGCCCTGGCGCGGCGGCCACACCGGAGGAGACGCTGGGAGTCTGGGCCTCAGTCGCACGTGTGGCCTGCCCGCCACGGCCCCAAGGCCTCACCGCCACTGACCCGGCGGTGACCCGAAGGAAGAGGTGTCGCTTCTGTCTCTGGTTACAGGCAAAGGCGCCGAGGCCAGGCTGCCTGGGGTACCTGCCGCACCAGGTCGTGGACCCAGCGCCTGGCTCCTGAGTCCCCGTGTCCAGGCGCCACGTGTGTGCAGAGGGAGGGGCCCTGCCACCTCTGGCCTTTCTTCGCCGGCCCCCCCGGGTTTGCGGTGATGGACGGGCCTCCTGCGGCCGCTTCCCCCCGCGGCTGCATGTGCCCGGTGGCAGCTGCGCCCCGGGCCCGCACCTGTTGCCTGGATCAGCCGCTGTAACCACCCTCCGCACCGGGGAAGCGGGCCAGGTGCCGGGCTTGGCCCGGGGCCTGCCTCCCAGAGGCAGGTGGGACGGTGGGCCGGGCGCAGGGGCTGCCCGCGCAGTGCGGCACGGGGTCGCAGCGGCAGACCGGAGCCGCCGCCCCTCAGGCCGCCCCAGCGCCACGTGGGGGTGCGGGCGGGGGAGCAAGGAGAACAGCGGGAGTCTTGGAGGGCCCCCCCTGCGCCAGCTGTCCGGGCGGCGTGGGCGCCGTGGGGCTGAGCAGCAGTGCGGCCGCGAGGCCCCCGAGGAGGCTGGGCCTGGAAGTGACGGCAGAACTCACTCCCGTGTGGCTGCCCGGGGACAGTTCCGCTCCCCGCCGCCGCCGCCCTGCATGGGGCGTGGACCGGCGCGCACCGTGGGAGCGGGGCTCCCGGAGCGCCTGGACACAGCAAACCCAGAAATCCCAGGTCTCTGAGAAATGTCAGCGAGGACGCCCGGGGCTGCACAATGCGCCGCATGGGCCAACACACATAAAACCTCGCCGTCGAGAACCAGATGGGGACTGGGCACCGCGGCGGCCGTCTGGGATCACGCCCCCGCCCACGCGTCTCTGCCTTTCCCCACCCCCCGGCCCGGTCAGGGCCAGGCGGCTGGAGCCGCCACGCGGAGAGCCCTGCCAAGGCCTGGGCGGGAGGAGCTCTCAGCTCCGCCTCCGCCCTGGGGGGCCGGGAGACCCCCGGCGAGAGGCCGCACCGGCCGGCCAGCCGCAGGGCGCCGCTGACCCCTGCTGGCGAGCGGCTCTCTGCGGCCCGGGGAGCGGGGGCGGGGGCTGGAAAAGCCTTGCGATCCGCTGTGGGGTGGGAAGAAACGCCCGCGCCCCTCGTAGTCTGGGGGGCCTTCAGGGAGACCAAGCAGCAATGAGACTAAAACCCAGGCGGAGTTTCGGGCCGGAGGAGACAGGTAGCGGCCGCGCGCCCGGAATCTCCTGCTGCCCGTGGCCCTGGGCCTTCCGCTGGGGAACCCCTAGCGCACCGCACGGGGGAGCTCCCACGCAGCCGGAGAGAAAGAATAAGTCTCCTCCCCCGCCCGCTCCCCGTCCACTCTCCCCTAACACTTACGGTGGGTCCGGACATTCCCCGTCGGCCCGGGCGGCCCTGGGACACCCACGGCTTCGACAGCTCGCTTTCCACGAGAGAGGCTGGCCTGACGCCCTTCGGGAAACCCCCACCAAGACAGCGGCCGTGTAGAGTCCGTGCATCGGTGGGTAGGTATTTTTAAACTCATTTTGCACACGCGAGGGATGAAATTCAAGCCTTCCAGAGCCTTCGCTGGGAGAGTCCCAGGGACCCCAGAAACGCTGGGACTCTGAGGACCCCCCAGAATTAGTCTGCAAACCTCAAGAAGGGAAGCGGCCGACATGGGAGCCCCTCCTCCACACGGTGCCGCCTCTGCACAGACCCGAGCCCCCCTTCCGGTGACAGGCAGACTCCCCCGCGGCCGGGAGCGTCCTCGCCCCCGCGGCCCGGCCGCCTCGCTCTGAACACAGCCCTGAACTTGCTCCGGAAAAGCAAACCTACCGGGTACTTTCCGGCTCTCACTTCACTTGACCTCTGTAGTAGCTGACGTGGTAACATTCCTTAGGTGTTCCTCTAAAATGTGATTATGACAGGTTTTAGTGATGCAAACAGTATAGAAAACAATACAGCAAACAGGCCGGTTGTGTGAGTCCAGGTTCCCCAGAGTCGCAGAACCCATAGGCTGTTGCTGTATTTATTATAAGGAACCGGCTCGGGCTGTTCTGGGGGCAGGTCCCCAGGTGGGCAGGGTGGTCTGGACCCCTGGGAGCCAGTGGCCTTGGTCCCGCCTGAGCGTGAAGCGTAGGCGCTGAG